ACGAAGAGGACAGGTCACTGATACAGAGGGATATAGATCACTTAGTAAGTTGAGTGCAAGCAAACAACATGTATTTTAATATAGCCAAATGTATTCATCTAGGACAGGGGTGGGTAAACTAAGGCCCGTGGGCTGGATCCGGCCCATCAGGACTTTGAACTTGGCCCACAAGATTGCCAACCCCTGCCCTGAGCCCCCTCGTACATCCTGCACCCCTCCTCTGCCCCAACTCCTTGCCCTGAGATGCTTCCTACACACCGCACCCCCTCCCACACCTGCACTCCCTCCCACATCCCACCCTTGCCCTGAGCCCCCTCCTGCACTCCGCTCCCCTCCCATACCCTGCACTCCCTCCCGCACCCCAACCCCCTGCCCCAGCCCTAGCCCTACATTCATGGCCCCGCATGAAATTTTCCCACCTAGATGTGGCCCTCAGGCCAAAAAGTTTGCCCACCCCTGATCTAGGAACAAAGAATGCAGGCCATACTTACAGGGTGGAGGACTCTATCCTGGGAAGCAGTGCTGCTGAAAAAGATTCGGGAGGGGGGGGGGTCATGGTGGATAATCAGCTGAACAAAAACTCCTAGTGCAATGCTGTGGCCAAAAGGACTAATGCATTCCAGGGATGTAAAACAGGGGAATCTTGAGCAGGAGTAGAGAGGTTATGTTACTTTGGCACTGGTGAGACCACTGCTGGAATACTGTGTCTAGTTCTGGTGTCCTTAATTGAAAAAGGAGTTGATAAATTGGAGAGTGTTCAGAGGAGAGGCACAGGAATGATTATAGGATTGGAAAATAATGCCTTATAATGAGCTCAATCTGTTTAATTTAACAACAAGAGGATTAAGGGCTGACTTGATTACAGTTTCCACATACCTACACTGGGAACAAAAATTTGATAATGGGCTCTTCAGTCTAGTAGACACAGGTGTAACAAGCTCCAGTGGCTGGAAATTGAAGCTAGACAAATTCACACTGGAAATAAGATGTAAATTTTTTTTTAACAGTGGAGGTATTAACTCATTGAAACAAGTTGCCAAAATTTGTGGTGAATTCTCCATCACTGGCAATTTTAAATCAAAATTGGATGTTTTTTCTAAAAGATCTGCTCTAGTTCAAACAGGTATTAATTCAGGGAAGTCCTACGGCCTGTCTTATACAGTAGGTCAAACTAGACAATCACAACGGTCCCTTCTGGCCTTGGGATCTGTGAATCTCAGCCCAGGAGGGGTCATGGCTCTGGGAGAATGGGCTTTAAATTGGATTTGGCCAAAGGACTCTTGCTGAGACACAGGCTAGTCAAATGCAGGAACAGATCCAGGAGGAAAGGATAGCTGAAGAGGGTTTAGATCACCTTTAGGTTTCCTTGCAGTGATACAGACACAATTACAATAGCTAGCTAGCTATTTACTAAATAAACACATATAAATAACATTAGTAAGATTTTGTTAATGACTCTTATTTGTTCATTATTTCTGTAACTGTGATTGGTGTCAGTGCCATTCTCAGCAATAGCAGCTATTTCACTGATCACTCCCAGCAGGGTTTCTAGTCTCATCACACACAATCAGCACAAGAAATGCAGTTTAGCATGGAAATACCCAAGAAAGGCAGGAGACTTTAAAAACAATCATAAGGCAGGGTCTATTATTAAAAATAAATGTGATTCATTTCAAATTCTGCATGCCGAGAACAAAATGTGGATCCTGAGCCTGGATTGCCAGGTGTGAGTGCACTCAGAAATCCTTACCTTTGTCCCTCTCGCTGATGACTTGCCTAATCCTCCTCCTACTGATGTCATTGAGAGTTCTGCAATCAATTTCAATGGAAGGAAGAATGGCCCATGACTTTGCTCCACTGAGGAGGTCTTCACTCTCAGAGGAGAAGAGCCTGCCTAGGAGCTAGAGACTATGGAAATGACACTGAGACCTCTATCTCTTGTCAAGTTTGAAATGCTGCCGAAATGAGCGAGAGAGAGAGAGAGAGAAAAAAAGAATAAAATCAGAGGTGAACAAAGGGAGACCAGTTTGTGGGCATGCTTCTGCAGAAACGGAGGAGCAGCTAATCTGGGCAGGAAGAAGTACAGAGGAGTACAATCTTTGGTTGGGGCATTGAAATGGGACTTAGGAGATCTGTCTGTAATTCATAACTCAGTCACAGACCATGGGCAGGTCATTTGTTCTTCCTCTCCCTCAGTTCCCCACTTGTGAAATGGGGATAAAATACTTTCCTATCTCACAGGGGTGTGGTGAAGATAAATTCACCAGTGTTTGTGAGGCGCTCAGTGGGAAGGACCATATAAATAGACAGGCTTACTATGATAGCTGTTTTAGTGGGACACCTCTCAGGGAACTGATTTAGCTTGATAATGCAAATGCCAGCTACTGCTGCTTAAATCAGCACAGAGTTAACAATATAGTAGACTTTTTTTTTTAAAAAGGTCAGGGATGCCCAGAGTATTGAATGGTGTGTTTTTATTGTACTTTGCATAAATCTAAAATAAATACACTTAACAGGGATGCATTCAGCCAATGCCAAGGAGTTGAGTAGCATTTAGCTTGTTGTGAAATTCCAAGATATAGTCCGTTAATATGAAAATTGCTAAATCAAGACGGAAAGAGAAAATAAAGATGACAAACAGTGAATATCACTTTTTATTTTGTATTCAGTACAGTGTTTTATTTCAATTAAAGTTTTTTTCTGAGCTTTTCCCTACTTTTTCTTTTTAATGAGCTACTCTGTTATATTGCAACAGGGGACTCTGAAATATATCAGGTAAGAGGATTCTGCTATAGCAAATCCCCAACTGGAGGAGAACTCCAGTCTGGTATTTTTCTTAACATTTTTTTCTGATTGTTCCTGTTTGTGATTACTCTTTTATTGGGACCATACAAAATATCATAGAATCATAGAATATCAGGGTTGGAAGGGACCTCAGGAGGTCATCTAGTCCAACCCCCTGCTCAAAGCAGGACCAATCCCCAATTAAATCATCCCAGACAGGGCTTTGTCAAGCCTGACCTTAAAAACTTCTAAGGAAGGAGATTCTACCACCTCCCTAGGTAACACATTCCAGTGTTTCACCACCCTCCTAGTGAAAAAGTTTTTCCTAATATCCAACCTAAACCTCCCCCACTGCAACTTGAGACCATTACTCCTTGTCCTGTCCTCTTCTACCACTGAGAATAGTCTAGAACCATCCTCTCTGGAACAACCTCTCAGGTAGTTGAAAGCAGCAATCAAATCCCCCCTCATTCTTCTCTTCTGCAAACTAAACAATCCCAGTTCCCTCAGCCTCTTCTCATAAGTCATGTGTTACAGACCCCTAATCATTTTTGTTGCCCTTCGCTGGACTCTTTCCAATTTATCCATATCCTTCTTGTAGTGTGGGGCCCAAAACTGGACACAGTACTCCAGATGAGGCCTCACCAATGTCGAATAGAGGGGGACGATCACGTCCCTCGATCTGCTGGCTATGCCCCTACTTATACATCCCAAAATGCCATTGGCCTTCTTGGCAACAAGGGCACACTGTTGACTCATATCCAGCTTCTCGTCCACTGTCACCCCTAGGTCCTTTTCCGCAGAACTGCTGCCTAGCCATTCGGTCCCTAGTCTGTAGCTGTGCATTGGGTTCTTCCGTCCTAAGTGCAGGACCCTGCACTTATCCTTACTGAACCTCATCAGATTTCTTTTTCTCATCAGACACATCACACATAAGTAATGCCCTTCACTATGAAGTAATGCCCTTTACTATGAAGCTAATTGTTATAGGTTGTTTCTTAAACACTTTACGTGCTAGGACAGCCTGTGCAGGTGCTGTGTAAAAGGGCTCATGCAGAGAAAGATGAAGGGAACTGAAGTGTCTCAGAATAATATGGTGGGCTTGCGTAACATGCGTCTCGAGTGAATGGTTATTTAGTTCACTTGTGAGACTAGCAACCATCAGAATTATAGCCACAAAACCATCTTTCCTTAAAAGATTAACTTTTTAAAAACAGAAACTTCTTAAACTGATCAAGGGACTCTATTACAAATGTAGTCAGCCTATGGCAGACAGTAAGGTGAGGAGCGTGGTATAAGCACCTAGATAGAATAGAGAACTAGCAAAACTGTATTATAAAGGGTTATGTTGCTGTCACAGTCTTCCCCTGAAGTAGTAAGCTTAGCACCAAGTTTGGCAGAACTCCCCTTTGACCCGAAGGGAGTCACATCATTTGAGTAATGGACCATCACTTCTTCACCTTCCTCAATTTTAAATAAATCACAACGCCTGGAAGCCAATAATGAAGCGAGAAATTACTCCATGCTGGCTGTAATGAGCACAGAAAAATAACCTCAGTTGGGTGAGTTCCCTTCCACTTATACCGTGCCCACTTGGTCAGTCTCCCATGTCACTGATGGGTGCCTGCTAATCCTAGCTCATTTACACTGTGCCATGTGGGCATGAAGGCTCATGTCCTCCTGAGTCTAGAGATACATTGACACTGGAGGTAATTGCCAGCTCGTGTAGATGTACACGCACTAGCCTTGATCTAGCTAGCAGGCTAAAAATACAAGTGTAGCCATGGTGGGATAGGAGGCAGGATGGTTTAGCCGCTTGAGTAAATACCATGGTAGGACTGTACTCAGGCTGGCCAGAGCCTCCCACTGCTGCTGCTACACTTCTATGGTTAGTGTGTTAGCTTGATCAAAGCTAGCGTGCGCACACCTACCTGTGCTGGAAATTATACTGCCACTCCAGTATGGATGTATCCTACGAGAGTGTGATGGTAAAGTAAAACCCTTCCTTTTCAAGCTCCAATTCTGAGAGGTGCTGTGCACCTCAAGAGCACTTGCAAGCTCCATTGAGTTAGGTGGGTCCATGTTTGGCCCTCAATACAATCTCTGCTTGAGACAATGGAGCTCTATGACCAAACCCTTTGCAGTCATGTTGCTGCTTCAGCGATGAAACGCACCCTTCCTTTCATTTTATTTAATAATTTTATATCCAAACAGTGTAAAAATGGTCTGGTTTTTATTCTTTATCCGGACTATTAAACATTCAGGAGTTCAAAAAATAAAAAGCAAATATTTTGTAAGCATCTCATAATGTTTAAAAGGCAATAGAACTGGTACTGACCAGCAACACCATAGGTACGTATAATTTTAGAAAGTGTATGTGCATATAGATTATGTAAGCACGCACGTGCACACACACACAGAGGATACATCATTTTAGTCACCATCCAAATATTAGCACCGTATTATAGTAGCACCATATCTTTTAAAAGCTGATTTAAAGCAGGAATATAGAGTAGCTGTAATTGTGATTAAATTGTTGTCCCACACACATTAAGAGGCCCAATCTTGCAATGCTTCACCTGCAGAACTCCCATGAACTTCAAGTGAAGACCTGAGGCACAGATCTTGCAAATGCTGCCATGCCAGGGTATGTGGGTGTGGGTGTATTCTCGAGGGACGGACCGCTATGCTCACCTGCATGGCTGCAGTTGCTGGATCGTGGCCTTAATTAGTACAGTATAGTCAGGTTTAAACATATTTCTAGTATGTTTTACAGTCACACTCCTTTAGGGCTCATCTACATTACCCACTGGATCAAAGGGCAGTGATGGATCCAGCAGGGGTTGATTTATCGTGTCTAGTCTAGACATGATAAATCGACCGCCAAGCACTCTCCCATCAACTCCGGTATTCCACCAGGGCGAGAGGTGGAGGCAGAGTTGACGGGAGAGCATCAGCCGTCGACTTACCGCAGTGAAGACACCGCAGTAAGTAGATCTAAGTACGTCAACTTCAGCTAGGTTATTCACATAGATAAAGTTGCATAACTTAGATTGATCCCCCCCCAGTGTAGACCAGGCTTTAGTCACTGCAACAGATTTATGAGTGTGTATTCCCTTTCATACGGTATAAAACCAAGAAGACTGTATATAGTACATAGAACAATTAGGAAGCTGCAGGGTATGGCTAGGATTTTCAAATGTTAGCCAATACTTATGTTAGGCATAGTATACTCCACAGTAATAGGTATTATGTGCATGGTATTAACAAAATATATACGTGATATTTACAAGTGTTGGGAAGTTATGTTAACACAGTTATCTTCCCACAATTCTGTTCACCCACGTCAAGCATCCCCCAACACATTGCAAAGCTGAAGTCAGCTTTGGCATCAGAAAATAGAAAACTTGTCAAAGCAAAGGGGCATGAATACTTTGCACTCAGTCAGTGGTTCTCAAACTATGGGTCGGGACCCCAAAGCGGGTTGCAACCTCATTTTAATGGGGTCACCAGGGATCGCATTAGACTTGCTGGGGCCCGGGGATGGAGCCCCATCACCTGGGGTTGGAAGCCCGAGTCCCACCATGTGGGGCTGAAGCCAAAGCCTGAGGGCTTCAGCCCTAGGTGTCAGGGCTCAGATTAGAGGCCCCTGCCCCCCACCTGGGGCTGAAGCCCTTTGGCTTTGGCTCTCCCACCCTGCTTGGGGCAGCAGGGCTTGAGCAGGCTTAGGCTTCTGTCACCCCTCCTGGGGTACTATAGTAATGTTTGTGGTCAGAAGGGGGTCATGGTGCATTGAAGTTATGAGAACCCCTGCACTATGTGCAGGTAGGGCGGACTTTCATGACCCATCCACATTTGGAATGTAGTATTCTAAATAAGGGCTAGGAAAGTATAGGGAGGTATCAAGGACAAAGCTGGCACAAACTAGCGGGTTGAGTGAAGCACCCAAACAGAGGCTGCTTCAGTTATAGGTGAAGTAGGCACTGCCTAAGGCAGCATACTTGCCCCAGCTGCCCCTCCGTCACGCGCAGCTGTACCAAATTTGAGTGGTGTTGCAACCTCATATGCCAGGTTGCAATGCTACTCAAATTTGGCTCAGCCACCCCTCTGTCATGACAGAAGGGCAGCTGAGCCAAATCTGCCACTCTAGGCGGATGAGGAGGGGAGCAGAACACTGAGGTTTTGCCTACAGTGGCAGATTGTCTTGAGTGGCCTCTGCATCCAACTTCCATTGAATTTCAGTGGACCTCGAGCACCAGACTCCTTTCAGACCCTTTAAAATTCTCAGCCTAAATCTCTGCCTGTTTTAAAGGCCAGTCCAGCTCCCATTGAGGGTAGTTACACCATTGTCTTCGGTGGCAGTAGGATCAAGCCTACTATCTGATACCAAACATGGGAAATGCTCCATTATTGACTAGGCTTCCTTAGCAGATTTTTGACTGTTTGCTTTAGATATCACTGTAAAATAAACTGTTTAATTAGGTTCGCTGAAAGCTTGGTTTTAAAAAAGGTTGAATACTGCATCATGAGAGCATAAAATATATGGTATAATTTTAATCCTGAACATTTGTTCTTTAGGTTGTTCCAAGATATTTGCACCAACAGAACCATGCTCAGAACTGTGTACTTAGGAGGTCTCCTTCAGAGAGTCAGTCGAGTATTTAACTTTTTTTCTTTTAATAAAACATGCTGACTAAACTGAGTCTTTGAATACAAGTTCATAGCTAGCTATGAGAAAACTCCACTAGTAATTTTAGGTTAATAGCCTTTTAAAGAGACAGCAATAAACTAGCAGTTTTAAGAGACGTTGTCAACTCAAACAGATTTAAAAAAAAAACAAAACAAGTTTGTACAAAACCTAAGGGCCCATGGTGGGGATCTTCAGCTGTCCCTTTGGGGCGTCAGCTTTACAGTCACTTTGTACCACTCTGGCAGTGCAAAGTGACTAATATAAAGAAGGAGCTGGCTCAAAACATGCTGTAGAGCTCTGTGTTATAGTGTGATGGATTTGCTAAGAAGGAGACTACAACTCCCATTTGCTCTCTCCCCATTCCCTCCTGGCCAGGTAAGAGAAAAGCTCCTGAACCAGGAAGTAGTCGAACTCTGTTTGGAAATGATGGCTGCCTGGCAAGCAAGTTGCTGCAGGGAAGCTGATTTCAGAGCAAAATTCCCAGGAACCATTTGCAGAACAGGCTGTGAATCTCAGATGATACAGCTGAATGCAGCTCTGTATGGGACTGATGGGGGAACAACCGTGGCTGGGCAGGGAGCCAGAGCAAAGGGGCCCCAGTGTGGAACTCTAACTCATCCTGGCCTAGAAATCTCTAGGTGCCTATTTACTTGACTAGAGATTGGACTGGAGACAGCACCCCAGGCAAGTAGACCTGAAGAGCCCTAACTGTCCATTGGGCTGCCCCAGGGAGCCAAACAAGAACCGCGATTGCTCACTTTGAACTATAACTGGTTATGCTTCTGTACCTAGGGTATTTGCAACCTTTCCCTTTCCTGCCAGCCCTTTTCCTTGGCCATGTGTCTGAGTAGTTATTGGGGCCCACTATGGCTAGCACCAGTGAGGCCTAGCTGATGAAGCACCTACAGTGCTTGCCTCCAGGTTGCAGTATACCCAGCATGCTACTGGCATCCTAGGAGGTTGTGTACAGGGAAGCCCCAGTAATTACAACAGACAGGATAGAATAACTTTGCCCTTTGGAATCTGGGACTAAATAGTGCTATGTACAAGTGCCAGTTATTATTTTAATACTGTTTTGGGGGAACAACAGTTTGCTCTTCCACTGTAAATGGAGAAAAACAAAAAGCACAACATTTATTTAAAGACCAAATTAATCCTGTACGCATGTCCCGAACCTGTGTTCCATACATGCATAAGAAGTACCGGGAACAGGTGTACATTGCAAATCACAATGACAAATTTGTGGCTGTCTTAAAGAGAAGGCTGGAGAAGCATATTGGGATTGATTGCCCTAAAGGATGTATTTTCCCAATTTTGATAGTTCTTTAGGTTTCCATCTATAAAGAACGGATCGGACGCAATTTTCTTCTGGGTTTGGTGTAATTTTGTTCTTTGAAGTGCTGTTGATTTCCAGATCTTGTTTTGTTAGGAATTCGGGGCCTGTTACATGTGATGCAGCACTGAGTCTGCATTGATGGCACCAAACATTTGCCAATCTGCTTCAGTCTCTGGCAGAAATTAATGGACAGCTTGTCCTTGTGGCACGGCAGGCCTACGGTGAAAAACATGATGAAAGTTAGTTATAGTCTGAGCGTCTAGATGAGAGTAACCTATATCCATGTCTAGATCTGTGTGAATGCATGGACAGAATAGCAGGGAAGCAGAGTATCTGAGCTCCAAGGCAGCACCTGCACCAAGGACCTTTGATGAACAAGGCCCAAACCACAGTGTGTTACACCACTCTCAAAGATACCACATTTACAGATATGCATTGCCTCCCTGTCCCACTGCACTACCAGTGATTGCTGGCTAGCTTGGGGAGGGGACTCCTGAAGAAGCTGTAGGAACTTACTTTTCTAAGAGGCCGTGTTGACTGGGAGGAGCTGGTGGTAGCTTTCGAATAAGGCAGGAGGGAGCAGATACTCGAGTGCAGCAGTTCAGACCCCATTCTGCCCCCTCACTTTCTGTAAAGAACACACTGACCCATTCCTGTGTATTATCTTGCCATCTACCTGTGCTCTGCTCAGCATTCTCAGTCCCACACTACTTGTGGCCTCTTCAGCCTACCCATATCCGGTGTTTGATTACAGTAGAACAATGTCCAGTAAAAGGCCCATGTATCAGCATGCAGCCACCTGACTGGAGGATCATACCCAGAATCTTGATGCAGCTTTGGGCCCGTGCAAGCAAACCCCATGATAGCTCCTCAAAGAGGAACCTCAACCTGTACCATGGTATATCTAAGCAGCTGCTGGCCAATCATGGGACCAGGAAACCAGGCAGCAGCGCAGGGAGAAGATAAAGGAGCTCAAGGTGACGTACCAAAAGACCAAGGATAAGAATTCCAAATCTGATACTGCCCCAACCACCTGTACGTTTTATGGTGAACTGGACTATGTTCTGAGCAGTGCCCCGAGCACAGAGTTTGTGGAGAAGAGGCACCGAACAGCCAGCCCAGAGAGGGGTGGCCCCCGGCTTGGGAGAGGACTGGCCCTGAATCATAGAATCTCTTCCTCGATCTGGGCCAGTAAGAGCACAGCGGATGGAAAAGAAGCAGGGGAGGACACAGTATCTAAACTGGTTAATATTGGCCCAGCCCTCTCTGTTAGTATTACGAAAGATATGATGAAATATTTGGGCAGGTTTTACCCTATAATCCTAGCTGCTGCTTCCATTATGAGTGGATGCTGTGCCGTCATACACATCTAACTCACCCGCATCCCCTTTGCTCTCTCCCTGCAAGACTATTTAAAATGACAGAGGAGCGGAGACCTACTTGAAGAGTGACTGTCTCACTATCAGTGCTAAGGTGGGTAGTTGGTGATGACCTCTCCTTAGCTTCTGAAGGCGAATCCAGTACCGGTCTCTGATAGAAAATTCTGTCGGTGCTGTGTATGGTAGCGGCGCTGGCAAAGGGAGTTTGTGTGCTATCAGAACCAAGGACTCCAATAGTGCCAAAGGAGGTGGTCAGTGCCAGGTTTCTTGGGGCAGGCACATATGGTGCTGCTGTTCCCCGTGTTGGAATGGATGATGTTGAGGTGCTTAGTACTGGCATGCTCAGTGCTGAAAACGAAGACTTCCTTGGATTTTGATACTGTGGCGTCAGCACAGGACTCCACTTTAAGACTGTGGGAGGAGAGAGTCTTAGGAGACACTTGCAGTCCTTGTACTGCGGCGGAGAATCAATGCGGTCCCTGGACCAGAACTCCTTGTGCCCCTGTATGGATTTGTCACTGGTGTGGCTGGCAGGAGGGTCTTATTTAAAGCAGCCAAGGAGCTCAGGGCACTGGTCACGTGAGACTGAACCGGTACCTGACACTTCTATGAAGGTCTGTCCAGAGTTGATGCTGCCATTGTGGATCTTTCCAAGAGGAAGCACATCAGCTTTGCCTCCCTCACCATTCAGGCATAGTTTTCAAAAGAGGTTAGCACTTGCAAATGGGGACAGATTTTCAAGAGAGCTCAGCATGTTGGATGCATGTTGGGTGCTGAGCTATTTTGAAAAATTTCACCCAAGGGTATTAACTTACCTGCACTTTTCCTGCACTCTTGCGTATTGCATTTCTGAGATTCTGGAGGCTTGAACTCATGCTCACACATAGTTTGATCTTCGGCTTTGTTATCTTCTGTATTGATGCACTTTACTGTTCTTTGCTGAATGCCCCCTCCACAAGAAGCAGTGCACTGAAAGAGATACAATTAATTTATCCCAAAGCCTTCTGAATGGGGATTGTGTAGTATGCTTTTAGCATGTTCATCAATTAGCGCAAAGCAGCTCTAATCTTTGAGTTGCTAAGCAAGGGATGCATGACCAAGATCTAAAGTACTATGTACCTTTCAAGGATTCCCAAAGATTTGCGAATATTTTCTACTTGTATTATTATAAGAGCAATAAGGATATCAACTTCAGACAAAAGGAAAGCAAGGCAAAGAAAAGGTTTATCTATATGCTCTACATGCACATTCAGATCTTTTCCACCTGTTTTTTCCCATGAGATTGCCCACTAATAGATTTGTGAACTGCATGCCCAAAATGCCATCTTCCTGTATAACTAGATGTTAATGCTATACTGTTGTCTGACAAATCCATGACATCACTGGACCTGCTATTACAGTCGCCTTGCTGTTTAGTCCGAGTCTGTGTACCTATGGTAAAATGGTATGGGTTTCAAATCAAAATAAGCATCTGATACCTTGCTGTTACCTTGTTCTCTATTTATTATTAAGGTTCCCTTTTATGGCACTGTACAGCACTGTGGAAATCTACAAAGAAAATGTTTAGAGTAGACCCTCAAGAATAATAGACTGTACTTTATCTTACAGCCAGTAAAAAACAGAACAAAATCTCTAAAAGGTTGTAACCATCTGTAGAGCACTAATAGAAGATATAAGCTAAACCAAATATATGAGGCAAATTTCAGCTCCAAACACAGAGCCATCTAAGGCTCCTACACTAGGAGCTAGAGTTGTGATTCCCCTGCTCATGTGCATATATACTCACACTAACTCTCACTGAGATAATGTGAGCATAAATAGTGTAGTCACCGCTAAGGCACAGCAGAGATGTGCTGAGTACAAACGCCGGGTGGGTATATACTCGGCATGGCTCAGCCGAGCCTCCGGTGCTGCTACCCTTGCTCCTGTGGCTACCCTGCTATTTATACTGATACTAGCTCGATGAGAGTTAGCTTGGGTACATGTACACAAGCAGGGGAACCACGTCCCTAGCTCCTAGTAGAGATGTAGCCTAATGCAGCTAGTGAGCGTAAGGAGAAACTACACACGACTAGCAGCCTCATCAGACAAACCATGTTAATCCTTGAGCATGTTAGGCATTATGATCAGGAGAGACTGACTGCTGTAGCATTTTGGAGTGGGCCAGTGAAATAATTTTCTAGGTGGTCCTTCCCTAAAAATTGGTGTTGGTTGGAAGTTTTCTCTCTAAACTGTTTTTGATGGAAAATTGGGGTTTTGACAAAATGAGATTTTTTTTGGTGAAAAGGATCTGCTTTTTGTGGAAAATTTTGACTCTTGGTTGAAAACAGAACACTCTAAAACTGAAGAGATTTTGATTCAGAGACATCAACACGGTGCCTCATGGCAGTTGTAGTGCAGATGCCTCATGCCCCCATTCTTCTCTATAGGCCAAGTTTCCCAGCCAGGCTACGGCCAGGTCTACACTACAGACCTATATCAGCATAACTACTTCGCTCAGGGGTGTTTAAAATCCACATCACTGAGCGACACAGTTATACCGACCTAACCTCCATACATAGCGCGTTTAGACAGCGCTATGTCAACAGGAGAGCTTCTCTCGTCAACATAGCTATCACCTCTCTGAAAAGTGGATTAACTATGCTGACAGAAGAAGCTCTCCAATCGGCATAGGTTCATCTTCACTTAAGTGCTACAGTGTTTTAAGTGTAGACCTGCCCTACATCTCCCAAATTGCACTATGGACAAGCACTTCCACAGGGGCTCAACAACAAGGGGGATGGTGGTGCATCATGGGAGATATAGTCTTGCTGGGGAACCTGGGTCCTAAAGGAGAATCCATGAGGGTCTGAACTACCACTCCCATGAGGCATGGCGGTGGCATTTCTGAGTCAACATCTTTGGCTTTTAGCTAAAAGTTTTCAGTTTCAATTTTTTAATGCAACATCAACATTTTCAGAGGGGAAAAATAACCATTCTCCAACCAGCTGTACTAAACATAACTAAATCTACTGCGATCGCACCACTATGGAAAGGCCTGGCCTTAAGGTTTTGGAAAAGCTGAATGAGTGGCTTCTTTGAAGATATTTAGGCTGCCAGTATCTTTCTTTGCTCCAGGACAACTCCAGCCCAACTCTTTCTCCTTATCCAGATGCCAATATAGAAAAATGTCTTCAAGATACAATTCTCCAAGTAACTGGGGTATAAAATAATCTACAACTATTCATCCGTCAAGGGGTTTTGTGTGCATTCTGGTCAATTTTAGAGGTGTTTCCCCCCTCTTCTCTTTGAATATACAGTAGCTAGCAAGATAAATCATAAATCTTGAAAATTACCACTTCATGTCTTTTCCCTAAAACTTACAGAGCTATAGAATGTCCGCCAAGGCTGTACAATTATTAAAAGTGGGATGTGTACCTCTATTCAATTCTGCAAAGTATCCTCTTTCTAGTCTCTCTCTCTGTCCATAAAGGATTTTGTTGTAATTAGTATAAAGTATATAAACGAGGCCCTAGACATTCAGTGGCAACTTCCAAAATTTTTAAAATTGAGGTTTTTATTGAATTAAATAAAATTAAATTGAATAATACAGTCAGTACAGTAGCCCAGTGTTATTTTGATATTAAGTTCAGTTTATTTTATCCTGTTCCCCACATTTTCAGTATAACTCAGATGTCATCTTTACATTTTAGCATTAAACCTCATTTAGATGAATAGGGCAGTTCATACTTCTTATCTATTGTTTCACGTGGTCCGCAAACTCAGGAAGATAACATTGGTCTATTAAATTCAGGGTTTGTCTACAATTTAAACACTGGAGTGGTGGAGTGGGAGAGGTTCTGCTCCTGACCCAGGTAATCTACCTCTCCAAAAGGTGGTACCTAATTCTCCCATTGACTTGGTGCTGTCTACACTGGGGGTTAGGATGGTATAACTGTAGATCAGGCCTCAGTTATGTTCAGACATGGGGGCTAGAAATATAGAAAATGAAAGCTGAGGTTCTGGATCCCAATTCTGCAGCAAGGGATGAATTTCTTGACAGTGAAATCATGCAATATGTGAACAAAGTCTATATGCTGCAGAAAACACCCCCTCACTGAAAAGACAACCTACTTGGCATTCTCCATCTCTAAATTTTTATTAATCTATAAAGGTTTCTATTTTATACAAAAATTAACTAGTATTCTGATAATCATTTAAAATGTGTATCATCTTGAAGGAGCTCCAGAAGAAGTCTTTATATTAGAGTTAGGAAACATCATTTGAATTGCTAGAATTTTTCTAAATGGTAGAAGTTCGTAAGTGGTCCCCCATTCTTTATTGTTACATTTCACTCCAGAAGTACTATCCTACAGCTAATCCTTATTCCAGTGTCTCACCTTATGTTATTTTAGGGTTTTTTTTAGATGAAGCCTTTTTATTTTGCTACATGTGATTTTTTTTGTCAAATTCCCATTTACTAGAATTTGTTTTGAGCCAGTATAATGTAAAACTAGATTGAAAAAGTTAAGGCAATTTTTGCTTGACTGAGCTTGTAATGAACAGTTAAAAAGATCAAAGCCACAGCAGTATTACTTTGTAAATCCTGCCATAAAAAGCTGAATTACTGTACATTTTGAAAACAAAACATCTATTTGATTGACTGCTTTGTATGATATCTTCTCCCGTACTAAGAATGCTGCATCTTAGCTTTGGAAGATTTATTTCATGGTTATGTAGCAGAAAACTTAAAGTGGAACAAAAACAGAACATACCATGAGTTGACTTTAATAAACCAATTACTTTCTGTTACATGAATTTGATGTCTGGAACAATGTTAATGGAAAAACCTACCAATAAATAAGACTCATAGAATATTCAGGTTCCATTTTATGGCCTTCTGCTGAAAAATTAATGTATCATTTGCTTTTTTTCTCTTAGCATCAATGAAACATCAGTTGGAGATTTGTATTGCACACTGCCCCTCATGGCTTGCCATTTACTATTGTAATTTATATTTAAGATTCTGTTTTTAAAATTTTTTTAAAACAGTTGGTGGGATGTTTATGCAACATACCTTCTACTTTGAAAAATATTTGTAAAGTAGTATTAGGATATAAGAACATAGGAGAGAAAGGGTTATTGTGCATATGCCCCTTCTCCAGGATTGCACATATAATGTACATATATACGTACCTAATATTTGAGTCTTTATTATAGTTTCAATCTATTTGCCTGGTACTAAAGTTAGGTTTACTGGCCTGTAATTGCCAGGATTGCCTCTGGAGCCAAAGTTAGCACATGTGACTCCATTTTGGTTTGGGGCCCACCATTGTCTAAAAGCAAGCACATCATGCACCAGGAGGAGTGTTCCTTAGATACTGCATTCCTGTGAAAATCCTCCTCCTTGTTTCCAGCCTGCCTTGACTCCCGGTATCTGTTCTTTTTTCTGTCCCTAACTCCCTATCTCCTGGCCTTTGATGTGAGGCCTCCCATCCTGATAATAAAAGTTACTGATGCATGGCTTTAGGACCATGCTCTGTAATTAACATACTAGTTTAGCATGAGGAATGCACCAAGCAGGGATAGGTGGTAGATAAGAAAAGGGTGTGTTTATTGGCTAAGGTTTCCGATGCACGAGGGCAACATGCTTTGCTAAGAGGTATATAACCTTTGTATAATCTGTATTTGGGGTCCCCTCCTGGCTAGCAGGTGGGCACCACGCTCGAGCATAATAAACTTGGTGTTTTTTGGGAACTCTGCAGTTGTGGACTTTGTTTATGTGCCTCAGCTAGATTCGAACTGTGCGTGACCTATCAGGTATAATTCGCAGCATTTGTGTGCGTGTCCTACCAGGTGTAATTCATAACAAGTCTTTAAAACAAAAAACTGCTAATATTAGCTATCCTCCAGTAATCTGGTAGAGGGGCTGATTTAAGAAATAGATTACCTACCAGAGTTAGTAATTCTGCAATTTCTTATCTGAGTTCCTGCAGAGCTCTTGGGTGAATGCCATTTGGTCCTGGTGACTTATTACTATTTAATTTATCAATTTGCTCCAAAACCTTCTCTACTGACACCTCAGTCTGGGTCTGCTCCTTAGATTTGTGCCCTAAAAAGAGTGGCTTAGGGTGGGGATCTCCTTCACATCCTCTGCACTGAAGACCGAAGGACTGACATACTCACAAGAAGGGGTGAGCAGAGACTTAGGGGAGAGAGCATATAAGGCTTTTAACTGTGTTTCCTAAAGATCTGTGAGTTGTGTATGCTTTGACAGTAAAAGTTACAGTGGTATCAGAAACTCCTGTGCAAAGACCTGTGCTCCTTATTTTATCTGCCGTATGGTCCCTGAGGAGTTAAATTATGAACCAGAGCATCCACGGATATGGTGCTCTGGGGGAGTATGCATATGCGACTGGAGAGACTTGGGAGGTCTGAGCCACTGGCCTACAGAGTTGGATGGAGGAGTCCCATATCCCAAGGAAAGGGGTTAGACAGGGTATCTGCACCCATGAGTATACCAATGGGCCCAGAGCTAGAAACAGTGACCAGATGCTGCCTAGGCCCAGATGGCTTGGACACATGCGATCCAAAGACTGGGTCCAATTACAACAGACTGGTGACTCTCCACCAAGGGGACTCAGCCAGGTCTGTAACAGAGTGTGTGCTTTACACAAAGAAGCAGAACTCTTTTTTTCCTTTACTGCTTTGCTCTTCTCTTGAGACTACCTGAATCCATATCTAGATTTGCTGCTTCTACTACCCATGGAGCTTCCCTATATAGTTAACCTGCAGTTTTTGCTCATGTGGATGAGAATAGGTGGAAAATGATAAATCTTCAAACAGATACAATTACAGTATCACAACTGTGGTAAATTCACTCCACAACACAGCAACTAAAAATATAAATATATCTGCATGGTGAGTTGGCCTTTCAGTACTTTTTGAGAAGACCCTTGTTCTAGTTTTATCACTAACTGTGCACTAAGAACTGGCTTGCCATGTATACTGTACCTCACAAACACTGTGCATAATTATTAAAGGGCCCGACTTTGCTACCCTTGTTCTCATTGACTAGTTCCTTACTCCTTGAGCAGTACCACTGATTTTAATGTGAACAAGGGTAGCAGATTTAGGCTTTAATTTATCAAATAGATTCTTATTGATTCATTTTAACCAGATAACATTGGAGAATTGGAGTTAATTAGCCAAATCAGGTTCTGTGTCTGAAGTGGATGACTTTTTAGTTGTGGTGGTGTATATTTTACTATGCATTTCTCAAAAGCCAAAAAAAACAAGGATTGAATCCTACCGAATTCCACGTCCCATTTATCCACCGAGTACAAGGCTGCCCATTGCAGCGTGCCGTGGAGTTAGGCTTTTTCGTCCAGTCACAATAGTCCTCTTCTGGGCAGTAGATGTGTCTTTCTTGCAGACCACCGCCACATGTTCTCGAACACTAAAATAAAACAGCACACCAGAAAAGAGTAAAGTGAAAGCAATTTTGGGTGGTCAAAAAAAATATAAACAGGCTGCAAAGGAAGTAGAGAACATATTTATTTGAGAAATGCATGATCATTGAACAGTTAGTAAGAAGCATTTATCTGAAATAATTTATGACATTAGCAAGTTTAGCACATACATCAAGTCTGATGACCCAAAGTTGAAGATAACGACTGCAAAATGTATTTATTTAATCTTTTTTAATGACACAGATGGGAAGGGGCTGTTATTAATCTGGAGTAGGAGGCAGAATTTTATTAATAAATTCACTCCTAACATTCATAATGAAAGCAACATAATATTACTCAGATTTAGTGTAGGGACAATGATTCATGTCATAATGTCAGAAAGCAAGTCACGTTTCTGCAGGTTTAATCTGCAATATTAATGTAAGAGCTTTGCTCACTGGGACAAATTTACAAGATGCAACCTCTCACTTTCATGAGGCTGCTTGGGGATATTGAAAATCCACACGGCACATACTAAACCTTTAGCTACAAAAATGGCAATAAACAACCATCATACAGAAATATGGACTGAGGATATTTTTAAAACTTTCTTTCCAAACCTGTCTTAAAAAGTGATCATGGTTGTGGCGTCTTGAAATGCACCAAAGGCTTGATACACGGCTGGGAATATAATGGGCCAAAAATATTTTGGATAAAATTTTGTTCTTGGGCTTTCCTGAAACTTCCCCTATCTGATGATCTGCTTTCTGTAAAAGGAGCTGCTCTCTCCCTTTAGGATAAGCAGAATATCAGAGTTGAGGACCAACTTGCAGGTCTGAATCAGAATGTTATCCTTAAATCACAATTTGGAGTGATGTGTCACAATATCCTCAGTGTGAAAAGAGAAGCCATGGACGAACAAGAGGGTTTAGTAGATTTATTACATAGGCTAATGTTGAAAACTTTTTGCCAACCCTTCCCTCCCCCAAAACAAAACAAAACACACAACTTTGGTGGTATAAATAAAATAGAAATTGTATTCAAACCACACATTGGATTTGGTTTTGCAAAAGTAAATCCAGCAAATGAGATTTTTACAAAACTAAAACCAAACCTCTGCAGCTCCTCTCTTATTTTAGGCATGAATTTTCAACAGATCCTACGGCAGTTAGATACTCCATTTCAATATTGTTCTCAATGTTATTGTAGCTGTGTAGGTCACAGGACATTACAGAGAGACGGTAGGTGAGGTAATGTCTTTTATTGGAGCAACTTCTCTTGGTGAAAGAGACAAGCTATCAAAGAGTGTAAGCTTGAAAGCTTTTCTCTTTCACCAGCAGAAATTGGTCCAATAAAATGATCTCACCCACCTTGTCCCACTGAATTTCAATGGAATTTTGGAAAGTCCCATATGCATGTTTGAAAATCCCAATGTTGAAGCTTAAAGGAAAATTCTAAACTGGTCATGGCAGAAAGACCAAACAGAATGGCAGGAGAAGGTAACAAACAGAGTGAGTCTTGTTTCCTGGTCCAATATGGTACCCAAAACAAACCCTGTTGAGGCTTCTCTAAGACGATCTCTTCTGCTGTACATCAGGGTATGGAAATTTGGGGTGTTCTGCATTGCATAGTACCTGCAGGCCCACGTGACGGATGCCAGCACATCAGTTCTCTCCATGCTCATGCTTGAGTGTTCACGCTGCATTGTTATGTCAGGCTCCTATCTGTGCCAACATGTCCATATTGCGCTATGTAGACATGAGTCAGGTGCTGTGGCTTTCGGGGGTGTATCCCAGGGACCTTAGCAGCCTTGCTAGCTGTAGAAGCTCTAGGGCTTGCTTGGTTCATGATGTATTGGGGGAGAACATGTCTGTCCATCCCATAGCACTTGACCAGGAGTGTGCTTAGCCCACCAGCACATCTAGCTGAGCCATTTTTTGGGTCTGCAGGCTCTCTGCAACTGGAGTCAGTAACATGGTGTAAGACCTTTTCCTGGTCGTGCTTTCACTGCTATTTTGGGAATCAGGCAGAGCATCTGTGAAATGCTGGTGGACATTTTGGTGGCAGTATTTGGCCTTCAGTTCAGGACAACTGCACTTGTATTTCACCTCAGTGGCACAGCAAGGACACCCACTCTTGACTTTCAGCTCCCCAGCTGTTGTCTCTCTGGAGTGGAGACATGCATCTCTCTCCTTTCTGACAGGGTATTCCCAGGCTAGACAGTTTCCTTGCCTTCGCTGTGCATTCCCAGCACAGACAGGATACTCTAGGACACCTGCTTGCTCTCTCTTCAGAGACTGATAACAGTGTAATTGCTACAGATATAAAATACCACACAGATGTTTCTAAGCAAGCCGACATTCTTTTTAAGATACAAAGCATTACAGGGAAAACATATTAAAAACCTACACACATGCTAATAAGCTTACTAGCATTCATCCCATCTCTCACATGGTGTAGCCCATAAGATTACTTTGCTAGCTATTATATCCTACTAATCCAGCAAGCCGTATCAAATAATATGCTTCTCTTTCTGAATTAATCCATTTCATATATGATTCTTATATTTTATCAGTATTAATTCCTATGAAATTAGGATGTGTTGAGGCATGTGATATGTGTTTCCTAATAATTATATATAGAATAAGTTTTGCTGAAATGCAAGAAGCCTGCCTGCCTGTATCCAGCAAGATCAGCTAAATAGCTAAAAGTATGATTAGTTAAGAGTAAGTCAGCATAAAGGCGGACAACCTGTGGCACAAATGAAAATGGTCCCTGAACTTTGGGGAACCAAAGGGAGGAACTACATACAACACTGAACAGGTTTATCCGGCGTCTGCAACCGGTTGGTAACTGCAGGGCACACCACAAACCTGGAAGTCGCCAAAAAAGCCTACGTTGGAGTGAGATAATCCTTATTAATATGCAAATAGTAAGTGTCATAATCCACTAATGTATAGGATAAGGGTACCCAAAAATTTCTTAAGGTACGAAAACAAGATTTGGGTATAGTACGTTGGGCCTGAATTAAACAGTGTAGGGATCTTATAAAATACCATGTAAGAATATCTTAGGAAGCTTTTTCTTTTCTTTGTTCTACCATATTCTACATTTTTTATCTACCTATCATTCTATCTTCTATCATGCTATCAGCTCAGCTTGTGTAGTATAGTATAACTACTCAACATTCCTAACTATTGGGGAAGCCAGATCCATCGTGTTATGGGACATGCCAGGAGTAAGTAACCTCCTATTACCGGTTCCCCAAAGAAGGGTGTGAGTATGTTAGGTTAAGGTACTTATAATATGAATGTTACCACCAGGAGTTTTGGAATTCTTTTACTGTTTTGCAGTCATAAGTTTCACAGCATTTATTCTTCTTCTGTTAATCTCACTAAAGCTTTTGTCAATTTGGTATTGTCCTCAGTGTAAGTGTTTTTGCCAAGCACCCCGAGAGTCCTCTCCCGATATAGAATTCTCTGAGTTCTCAGACCCTGTAGTCTGAATTGAACAAGAACTTATAAATCTTCTGGTCGGATGCGAGCAGCGGCGAACCATAACAACTAACCCATAAAATTCAGGTCAACAGGTTGGCGAGCCAGCAAGAGTTTCAAGGTGTGCATGGCAAACACTTATTTAAGAGGTTAAAAAAAACTTATTTAAGAAATTAAAAAGCAAAACTCTTTGTGACTTAGTCACTGGGCACAGTCTGGTAGCAGTTTCCTTTGTTAACAGATGAATTCTGGGCACCGATCCCAGAGAACTTATAATACTTCCTTTTTTTTCCCTCTTGCAGCTTGTGAGTCAAATGGTTTAACTGTTTCATGTCTGTTTGTCTGTTTTATATGGCCAAATATTGGGAGTAATGGTATTGCGCGATAAGGGGTGGGTTTTTTTGCGTATTGAGTAGGCAGTCGCATTGGGCCCAATGAGCCATACTCGTGGTGGCGTTGGAGTTGATTAATATTTTAAGGGCCGTGGTAGCTCAGAACTTGTATGGTTCCAGTTACCCCTTTGTAGTCCCCTCAACTCCCCTGGGTTGCCCCCTTGAGCTGTCTCTGAGCAGTATTTGCCCCTCTGTTCAGTAGGTCCCGCCAGGACCTCTCGATCTGCTAATACACATTGGCCATCAAAGGAAGGGAGGGATCCTACTCCTATCCTTTCTTTTTGGGACTTGTTTGAAGTATTGTTGGACTGGTCTGGGGTATATATAATTTTTTATTACTATTATTAGTTTTGTAAGGCATCTTTAGATCTCTTTAGATTTAAGATTTAGAGTTAAGTTACAGTGTTAAGTTTTTCTCTTTGTTATTTGAAAGGTTAAGTATCGTCAGTGTAAAAAGCAAAAATGAGTGAGGGAAAGGCGGCAGAGCCTGTAGAGGCTGCCTGGGATATAGCCTTAGAGATTTTTGTTAGAAGATGCATTGGGGAACATGGAGGCGGTTTGGAGCAATTGAAAGATAGGGAAGTTCTCTCCAAGCATAGTAACCTGTGGGGTTTTGTAAGTCAGGTGATTGAAACTGAAACTGAGAGAACGAAAAGAAAAGATAGTGAAGTGAAAGGGATTGCAATGGAGTGTTTGTTGACAGCGTGTGGTCTTCTAGGACGGAAGTTAAATGTGAGAAAGGAGCTGCTCAGGAAGGCACATAAAGCTGTGAAGAAGGATAAGGAAATTCAGGAGTTAAAGGAACAGTTATGCACTGCTTCTGAAGAGCAGTTCTCTCTTTTCTGTAAAGGAAAAGAGTTGGAAAGGAAGTTAGAACGAAGTCAGCATCACGCCCATGAGGTGTGTGAGGAAGTGTATGGGTGGCAGAAATGAGCAGCTGCCAGTTTAAAAATAACTGGAAGGTTATAAACCGACCGTGGTCAGTTGTTGAACTTAAATACCTATGCCCTTTTAGAACCACTTCTCCATATGTTAGTGCTCACACACATATTTTCTCAATTTACACATAGAATGCCACTAACACTAGTGAAAGCTTTTGTAACAATCATATCTTTTTGCTCA